TATATATATATAATATTTAATAAATAAATATAGTTTTTTTACCTTATACCATGTAACTTGTGGTTTAGGCATACCATCTACATAGCACTTCAAAATAATAAGTTTGTGATTTTCTTTACCGAAATCGATTACCAAATCAGTATCATTCAAATTCATATTAGTAAACGAAGGTTTTTTCGGTTCTGAAAATGAAAAAAATTGGTTAGATCAATAATCGTTACAATTAATTATTAATATTTTGTTATTATTATTATTGTGATAATTACTGTAAACCACTAAATCGTAATCAAAAGTGTTGTTTCCATCTTTGGTTTCTCCAATACAAGTATAAGTCATCGAATCTTTAAGCTGAACATTTTTTATTTGTAATATTGCACGATGAGTGAACGAAGTTGTCCTATAAATAATTTTGATTCTCTCTGAAATTTGATAATATATATATATGTTAATAAAATTTGTCAATTAGAATAAATACATTATTTTGTTAAATTTTATTCTTACCATTTTCTGATATAGCCTTGTTGTTATTATCCACCCATAAAATATTATGAGTATAATTATAAATAGATGCAGCACAAATGATTTCGATGTCATCACTTTCAACAATTGGTCCTTTAGGTTCTATTATACCAAATTCTTTGATACCATCTGTAATATTATAATTATTATTAATAGAATGTGATCAAAATATAATCATAAGACTCCAAATATTTATTATTTAATAATTTAATTTCGCGTTAGATCATTGTCATTAATTAAAAAAAACGAAATCAAATGTTATATAAAATATGAAAAATAAAAAATAAACTTACCAGACACCATAACATTACTGGTAGTTGAATCACATCCCTCAGAATTACAAGCTTTACAATTAATGATACCAGACATTTCAATCTTCATAGATGCTTTTGATAGAAAAAACGTTGATTGCATTTCAGTCGTATGCTAAAAAAACAATCATAATTATAAACATTTGTCAGCAATTATGATAATGAAGGAAGCAAACAAAAAATTAATTTCACGATCTATTCGAAAATCTAAATGTAAATTAAATCATTAAAACAATTTTTTTCTTCTCATCCAAATCTTTTTTGTATACTTAGTCCACTATAATAATTAATGTCACTGAAGTTATTCTTCAAATAAAAAAGAAACAATTTCTTAAAAACTTGAAAATAAGAAAATCATATTAAAATTGTTAATTATATTATAAGTACATTTAATTTGATGAGACTGGAATTAATCTGGGAAGGATAATTAGGACATTGTAGAAAAGTCCAATAAATTTCTGGTTCTGGATAAGCCTCCACGTTACAATGAATATCAAAAATTTCACCAGGCGAATAATACGATTCCACATTTGTGATAAATAATGTTGGTTTACCTAAAATACAAACATAAATTATTAAACAATCAAAAAGAAAGAAAAAAGAAATAATTTGTATAAAAATTGTTCTTTTAATTACCTAACACAAATAATGAAAAATTGAGAGATTTGTTTTGATGTTCGTTGATAGCTAGAAGAGTATAAGTTCCACTATTCTCAACTGTCAATCGATTTATTCTTAAAATCGTTTTCGTTGGTTCTTTATTTACAGCGTATTTTGTTCCTTCTGAATTTGACCAATCGTCCATGATCTCACGATTTTTATTATCAAACCTTATTCGAAAGTTTATTATATATATTATTAAACAGTTTTCAAAAAATAAAGAAAAAATAAAACAAATGTTTTTTTTAACAAGAAAAAATTATATCTATATACTATATTTTACTTACCACTTTAATTGGACTTCAGGAAAAGCGTCATAATAAACGACCCATATCACGTGATTATCTTTTTTTCTCACATAATGTCTATTTGGATCCTGAGGCGTCAAATTGATATATTTATCATTTGGATCTGTAGAAAAATACAAAAAAAAAAATTATATATTTATATAATTTTATATATTATAAAATGCATTTATTATACAATTATTTATTATTTATTATTTATTATGTTATAATATATGTATATATAAATAAAAAATAAATAAATAAAATAAAATAAATTAATAATATAAAAAATAAGTAATATAAAATTAAAAAATAAATAAAATTAAACAAATTAGTAATATATATAAATATTACTAATTTGTTTTATTTTATTATATTTTATTTCACAGTGAAAGTAGAAACTAACCATGTATCGTTAAATTCATCTTCGCTCTATTAGAAGATGCATGAGTATTAATTATACACTCATACTCTCCCTCATCTTCTTCCATCACATTCTGTATGATCATTTCTCTGGTCACGTGTAATAAATTCGAATCAATGTTTACGATTTCCTGATGTTGACTTATTCGTTTATTCTACCAAAATATAATTCCAAATTATATTTATATATCAAGTTATTTTCTCTAATATTTCTCTATAATAATAATTAATTTGATTAAACTTACATCATTTGGTGGTTCCCATTTAAATTGAAATGGTATTGGTCCATTCAAATCAATCGTACAATTGACATGCAAAGTTTGACCATAAATCACGTGTCTCAATGTACCCATTATGATTTTTGGTTCACTCACATCTTGTTTGACTATTAAAATAAAATCCAATTGAATTATTTTTATATATCTATGTATGTGTGTATGTGTAGTATATATTTCTTTTCTATTCATCAATTTTAACAATCTTTACATGTGGAATTTAATTTAAAAATTAAAATTGGACTATTACATTAATATAAAAATAAAGAAAAAATTTTGTTAGAAAAGTAACAGAACATCGTGTATAATTTTGAATTAAATACTTACTAAAAACTTCCAAATGATAAGTGACGTCGTACGTTTTATCATCTCTCGTAATTGAACATTTATAAAGTCCACTGTCATGCAAACTAAGATCGTCCATTTTAAATCCAAATTTAGGATCGTATGAGATATTATCTTCTACATCGACAACCTGCGTCATTTAATCAATTATAAAGTGGTAATAAATCATTATTATTATATATTAATTAATGATGATTTACAAAATTGATATTTATTGAATATATAAATAAAATCAAAAATTAAAGCTTACCATATCCAATTGATCGTACAAAGTAACTTGCAAATTTGGCAAAGTTGGTCGACATGGTATCACAACCATATTACCGGTTACTTCTTTTATAGTTTCGACCACATTTTCGACAAACGAACTGTTAGGTGCTACAAAATATTTATATTTAATTCGAATAATATTTAAAAAAATTATTTCATTTATATTATTTTATTTATTTCCATACGAGACCACTTGCACATCGTGTGTGCAATCATACTTTATTATTATAAATTATTTTGAGTAAAGTAAAACTTTTTTTTGTATAAATAATATCTTTAAATTATAGAAAAATAACATTTAGTATTGTTAAATTGACTTATAATAAAAATATATAATATATAATAAAAATATATAATATATAATAAAAATATATAACAAAATTTGGTATCGTAAAATTGAATATACAATAAATAAATACGAAATGACTTCTAATAACCATGTTTGAAAAAATTCGTGGTTTCGAATGGGTTAACATATTATTAAATATATTTCTATATTTTTTTTTACGTACAATCAACGTAAACGTAGACCCANAGCTTCCTCATAATTATCATTTTAAACAGCTTTGAGAACCCTACGTAGGTTCTGGCCTCTTTAGAGTTAGCTTCAGTAGTTTTCCTCGCTCTCAAAATACGAGCATTATCAACGGTGTGTCGACGTAGTTTCTGGCTGTTTCTCCAATGTATTTCACGTATTTCAAACCATAACGCTCCTCAGAACGCTTGAACATTTCAGAAACACTGTCGACCTCCATTTCGCCACTGCTACCCTCGTGATTTGCTGTGCATTCTTTTTTGTGATCTTCAGATAAACTCTCAGCTTCGATGGGGTTTTTTGTAGCTAAATACTGACATCCTTTACATATGCTTGATTTTACTATCACATCAATTATTTTTTTTTTTAAATTTGCCTATCAACTACACAATACCTAACAGAGAGGAAATGGAGGCAACAAAATAGAGAGCGTTCTGAGTTATACACACTACGGCGGGCTCCATACTTTCGGTTATAACTTTGAGAATACTTTGAATATCGGTCTGAAATTTTTGGAGCATATTTTTGAAATATTTTTCTTATGAAATATGTAAAAAAAAAAAATCGATTTTTTAACCCGACCCAGGGGGGTGGGTACTACCTTAATTGAGGAATCTAGGCCATAACATTTTGGTGCCTCCTGTAAGGTTCGAGTAAGGAACTAAGTCGTGAAGGTCCGCCATCTTGTGAACATCTACATTGCCCAGCCTAGCCATCATCACGAAAGATCTAGAAGCGAGATAAGTAGTTTCAATTATCCGTGTGTGCACTTCTGCGCGCGTACACACCTTTATTCATAATTATATATATTTCAAGTGAAATTGCGCCTTTGAGTCCAGTAGAAGTTCGCAATTTCCAATATAATTATTCATTCACTCATAGTTCTGTAAGAAATTTCATACCAAGCTTTGGTATAAAATTTGGTATGAAAAATTGGTTCCATGCATCCGGGAGACATGATTGGAGAGATTACATTATTACACATGATACCAGGAACAGCTACCATAGTCACTAAAAGTAAAAAAATAATATGACCAAACAAATCATAATAATTTTGTTATCTGTAGTTAATTACATTATTTTTCTTTAGCTTCAGTAGATTTGCTACTCATCAATCTTGATGATTTTAATGAAATATTAAGAGATTATTTGATGGATCAATGGAATATTTTGCAAGATGCTTTGGTACACTTTAATTATTTTGAAAGATGGGACGAAGAAACTGTAAGAGAATGTTGCATTTTGAGCAAGTTAAAAGATTTTCAAGCAAACGAGATATTGTTAGGCGACGGAAAGGGCATGGTCAATTATGTACATTTTTTATTGGAAGGTGAATGTCGTTTGATAGAACATATACTCGTTAAAGAGAAACCAACTGYMCATGAAATGAGATACGAATTGTTCGATCMAGAYGTCATGAGTTCTTTATCGGAATTWGAATCAAATGATAAAAATATTGATACTGATAACATTATTAAACAAGAAGGATCAATGATTTATGATAAAATGGTAAACATTTAAAAAATCCAAAAGTTCATTTTTTCYTTTTGTTTTTATAAAGAAAATGAATTATCTCAAAATATTCATCTGTTTTATAAATTTCTTTTTAAATTAATTACATAGAACGACAAATGGACTAAACTAGAGACAAATATAAATGATACGACGATGGACTATACTCAGATTATGTTATCCAAAAAATTAGCAAATAAACAAGCTGATTTGGAACGTACGAGTATTGTGACWGCTACACTTGCAAATGTTGTAAGTGAATGAAATGTAATTGAAATAGTATACGAATGATATTATTAATATTAATAATCAAAGGTGAATGAATGGCACGAGATAACGGAAGTTACAGAAATGTTGATGAGAGACCCATCAGTTACATCGCAACGTTATCCAAAAGACGTTCATACAATATTCATGCAAGTTTGTATGTTTTATAGGGRTGCTTGTTTTGGAATAGGTAGGACAAATTAATTTTATTTATATTACTAATATCATCGATCTTTCATAATTATAAAATAATATAACGTTCATTTTATTAGGTGAAAAAATGCTTAATCGAAGAATCGTATCAGTAACACGTGTACGATGTTTCCTTATTCTACGTTATTGGTTAATGGAACGTAATCAAGCTAATATTTGGCACAGAGTTAGATTATTTATGGATTCGAAGTTTTTAAATAGAAAAGAATTGTTCAAAGAATTCATTAAAAGTCGAAAGTAATGATTAATTACTTTTTACATCATTTTATCTATATTACATGAAACGTATTATTAATAAACTATGACATTTTGTTTTTCTAGATGGATACAGTATAAAAGGAAATTAGTCAACGATATTATTAAAAAGGGACGACGTTCTCGTAATTGTGCAACTACATACGATGTACCATATTCTATTAGAATTACTGAAGAAATAAATTCGAAATTATAATTTATGTCTAAAGTACAAATTTATAAAATTTATCTTATCTATAAATTATATTTGTATATATATTTATTTTATTAATTTTAATTTATTAAGATATATATATATATATATATTTATATATTTATTTTTTAAGTATTTAAAAAATTTTATAAGATAAAAATCTCTAAATTGATTCGCATATCTTCATTAGTTTTATAAATTGTAATTATTAATATAAAACAGTAGTAAAATGTATAAGAATTACATTATTACACATATACACATATATCNTGTTTGAAAAAATTCGTGGTTTCGAATGGGTTAACATATTATTAAATATATTTCTATATTTTTTTTTACGTACAATCAACGTAAACGTAGACCCAACTAAATTCGGGATCATCATAATCCTTTMGAGTGATYGTTCGATTRTGATAAGAACAACCATACCAACCCGTATCACCAGGTACGGATTTACGTCGAGAAAAATTGTATGTACTTCCAAAATTTGTATTATTTTCGCTTACTTCTATTTCCGATGATATAACCTATTAATTATAAAAAAAAAAAGAAAATTATTTCTTAATTTAAATATTTCTATTTAAATTCAGAAGAACAAAAATAAGTATATAAAAAGAAAAAAAAATGAAGTGATAACAGATTAAGATGAAGAAACCTTTCTGGATTCTTCCTCGACGGATCCGTAATTCGTTGGATAGTAAAAAAAAATTTTCTTAGAACCTGTGCAAGAAAATTGTATAGGTTCACCAGCATTTTTAATCAATTCCGTTCCTTCTGGTCTTATAATGGTAGGTCTGTCATGACATGACACTGTAAAAAACAATTAAAATATTATAAAACTGTTATAATATAATTTAATTTTTTTAAATGAATATTTCTTATTTTAAACATTTAAAATCTGTATAATACTATTATAAATATATAATAGTAGGTTGATATATATTTAAAAAAAAAAAATAAAAATAGTAGTATACAGTATTACAGTATTATATAGTTTTATATATACATATATTATATATATAAATATATATATTATAATATATATTATTAATATATACGATATATATATTATTATATATAAAAATAAAAATAGTATTATATAGTATTATACAGTTTTACATTTACATTATTATTATAATATATTTATATAATATATGTATATAAAACTGTATAATATTGTATAATACTATTTCTATTTTTTTTTAAATATATATCAACTTTTTTAATAATTACACAATTTGAAATAAAATTAAAAGTTGAAAATGATTAAAATTATATCGACAAAGTGAAGATTAAATTATTAAATTATTTAATTAATATATTATTTAAATAAATAATTTATTTTATATTTAATTTAATTAATATTAATATTAATTATATATATATATCAATTTAACGCTAAACATTTTTTTTCTATTAGCTTCCTTTTATCACTTTTTTACTTTTTTATAATACATATTTACAGTAATAATCAAACGAACAAAATTTTTCATTTTTTCATGCTTCATTCAAAGCAAAAATCAAAAATAAAAAAAAAATAAAACAGAAATGACGACTCGATTAACGAACGTGGTAAAATAAAATGAGTCCTAAACCGCAATGTCCTGCGGATGATTGTTTTTATCTGCTTTTTTTTCATTTGCTTTTATACACATGCATATTTCTCTCCTGTAAAAATATACGCATAAGTATGGTTAAAATATATATATATATATATATATATATATTTTATTTGTACTTAACGCGACCGTGTGGCTAGGAAGGAAGTCCTTTCTTTCCTCTCCTGATAAATGTTCTCTCGTTATCACAAGCTCAAAACCCAAGCTCGTACGGTTTCTATGATTCGACGAACAAAACCAAAAGCTTCGAAATAATTCTTTATTTAATTATTAATGACGATTAATTGTTTTGACTACTTTCAATTATCTCGTGTTATTTATTTCAGTTGATCTCTAATTAATGTTTCTACGTAATCTACATATTTGATTGATGAAAAAGTTTCTTAGTATTTTTCCTAATATTTCTTTTTTTTTAGATTAATACAATTATGGTAATATTAATATCTGATAATAATTAGGTATATTTCAAAATTGACTATCATGATTTAATTAAACATTTAAAAAAAATAAATATAATACAGTTTTAGTATGCATGACATGAAAATGATTAGAGAATTTTTAATCTGAAATATTTTCATATCTAAAATATACTTAGTATTTTATCTCAATTATGGAAATCATTTAAAACAACTTGGCATATTAAAAATTCGATAAGGAACTAAACGTCGATCAAAAAATGGTTATTAACTGTTTATGAAATAAAAGTTTGTTTCATTTTCGCATTGAAATATGAAGAAAATATTTTTCTGACTGAATATAAGTGAAACAAAAATTATATATGTATAATGATATGTACAAATTATGAGAATAAAATAATATAAAGAGAAATAATTATATACATATATATATTAAATATATAAATTATAACATATATAATTTAAATATATAATTTATATATTATATATATAAATTAAATTATAAATAAAATAATTTATTGTAATATATATAATATTATAATAAATTAATATAATATTAATTCAACAAGACGCTTTTTCTTATTAGTTTCTTTTCGTTGCTTTTTACGTAAATATAATATATATATTTACAATAATAATAAAAGTAACAAAATTTTTCATTTTTTTTTTTTTTAATTCACAAAGTCTCTTTTAAATTAATTTATATCCATATCGAAATGTTCAGTCTATAATGTCTGGTATATTAATAACAACTGACGTAGACATAGAAATTTTCTAGAATGCTATTTATCATTCTGAGAAGATACCGAAGTGAGGGGACATTTTTTTATGTCATTTATGCGATACGCATTATAAAATATTATTTATCGCTGTATATATATATATATATACGTCATTATTTAAAAAAATCGTTCGAATATTGTTTCATTTTAAAATTGTCAACTTAATACACCAGAATATTGATTATGAATAAATATCAACGGTGATTTCCACGAAAGTTATATTTTATCTTTTTTTTTTTTTCATGATTCGATTTGAAACCATTTAAATTTTTCGAAATTCCAAATATTTTTAAATAACAAGATAAAAGAAGATGATGAAGAAGAAGAAGAAGAAGAAGAAGAAGAAGAAGAAGAAGAAAAAAAAGATTTGTGTTAACGTTGCTTTTTTTTACATATCTCGAGGGAAGTCAGTACGATAAACTTTTACTGTTGTTTTGAGAATACACATAAGATAAATAATGGACATCCCACAGAGAATGAAAGGATGGAGATAGAACAGGATAAGAAAACATGTGGTCCATCCTAGAACAGCTGCTAACAGATATCAGGTAATTAAATAAATGTATTATCTTTTGTAAACAAAACGAAACCTTTCGTTTTCAGACTTTGAAAGATTATTTTCTTCTTCTTTTTCTTCGAAATAACACGATAACGTAATTTAATTTTATAATACCTATTATGTGTTTCATATTTCTTTTTTTTTTTAACAATTTAATACAATTGTTATATTTTTAATCGTAATAATTTTCGTTTTAATATCAGAAGGATTTAATTTCAAATAAAATATACAAACATTTTATGTATATCTAAAATAACTATTAATTAATTTTATTTATATTTTAAATAATTCTTAATTAATTGTATCTATATTTTTTTTAAATATATATATATATATTTAATTTCAAATAAATTTAAGTATATATTTTATTTTAAATAAAATATACAAAATTTTATATATATTTCAAATAATTCTCAATTAATTTTATATATTATATTTCAAATAATTCTCTATTATTCTAACAACGAAGTAACAAATGACAAATAATTATTATAACAAAGAGAGAAACATAATTATTCAGTTAACAGTGTTACATTACTTTACATACCATATGTATTCAAACAATGAGATCTTTAGTAAAACTACATGAGTAATATGAAAATAAACATGACTTGTTTTTGTAATAATATCGACTCTAAAGTTCTTTTTATTCATACAAAATTTAAAAATAAATTCATTACTTATACTTTTTATTTCAGTATAATAAAACATACATCTGTTAATTTTATTAATAGTTAACAGATATATCAAGAATAAATTTCATTTCTTTTTGGTTTTGTTTAAAACTGCGATCGATAAAAATTACTCGTATTCACGTAGATTATACATTCATGATCAAAAACAAGGTCGTTAAACGTCTGACATCAATTTTACGATTCGTGTCAGGGAATTTCATTCGATCATTTTGGTATAAAAGAAATGATAAAATCATCTGAAAGATCGGAGCAATTTTTTTAAATCAACGAGAGAATGAATTCTATTGTATTTTAGCATAAATGATAAATAAAACGTATATAATTAGAGTCAGTATTTAATATTAGACGTATGCATGAAGTCAGATCTATTTGTTGCATAATTTCAAATGAAAATGTAATTGAAGAAAAGATAAGTTCATCATTTTGTCACAATGTTGTTTGTTTTTTTGAAATCAAGAAGATGTTGTAATTAATAATATAAAAAAACAATCAATGAAAATGATATTATTGATAAAAATCATATTAATTAATTCTTCTTTCATTGGTTTTTTTGTTTTTAAACAATATATACTCGTTTAATAATAAACTACAGGATACTCGTTAACTAAAGCAATATTACGATTAGATGATGATCGTGCTTATCGGTTCACACAACGGGATATTTAACGAGTACTTAACTTTTAAATTGATATATCGTAGAAAGAGAGAGAGACTATCAATTATAATATCCACGTGGTTATGAAATTGACATTGACAAATGAAATTCTAACTAATGGAAGGGTTCCATTAAAAAGACATTAACTTCTCTTATGAAATTACAATTCCTAAACTACCATTTCGATTTAATATCTTGTTCGATATCTTCTTATTTTAGTGGAATTTTTTGATAATCATATTACTGATAGAATATTTTAAAATACATTTACCAAAATCTTGTACAAATTTTATAATCTATTTTTATATTTAAATATTAAATAAATATAAGAGATAATATTTGTTATATCAAAAACATAACGAAATTTTAATGAAACATTAACCAAACGTAACATAGAAAAAGAAATTAGGATTTTATTTAATGAAAATTAATGAAAAAAAATTGTTAAATATAAAAATGAAAAGTATGATAGTTCATGATTATATAAAATCTGATCCTTAGAGACCCTGACACGAGTTAGTTCTTAATTAGACTAATTAAACTAGGTTCGTGTTCTAAAAAGTTACTAGATATGTTATGAAACGAAAGAAGAAGAAGAAGAAGAAGAAGAAGAAGAAGAAGAAGAAGAAGAAGAAGAAGAAGAAGAAGAAGAAGAAGAAGAAGAAGAAGAAGAAGAAGAAGANGAAGAAGAAGAAGAAGAAGAAGAAGAAGAAGAAGAAGAAGAAGAAGAAGAAGAAGAAGAAGAAGAAGAAGAAGAAGAAGAAGAAGAAAGAAATGATACTTTCGATCATGCCGATACAGGTTTTGTATCGTATAGTATAGAAGAAAAAGAAGGTCATCAAAACGTGATTTCATTCAAAAGCCATGAGACAAAAGAACGGTCCAGGTATAGGGAATGATGATTCACATAGTAATTCTAATGGTAGGGATTGACACGTTTCGAATAGTAATGTGATTTTAATGTTTTACGATATGGATACATTTCTTTTGACATTATCTATACTTTCGACAATTAGTTATGTAACTTTCACTTATTAGCATAAAAAAATAAAATATTATATGTTTATTAAAACGATAGTAATAAATCATTAATAATATTTAACAAACAACAGACAAATCAAATCTATATATATATATGAATCAAATGAAAAACAAAACGATACAAAAAAAGAAATAATTATAATAAAAAATAAAATTATTATAGAATATTAAAAAACTAAATCATTCTGAATAATAGGTTAATCGAGTCATCATGTAAAATAACAAGAAATTGACGATAATCGAAATCACGAATTAAATTCATTCGTAAACCCGTATGTGACTCAATGGTGACCACGTGACTCGATCACTACGTTACTCACAACAAGTAAAAAAAGAAAAAAATATGCCTACACGTTCAGTACGTCTGGTATTCTCAGGTGTGATGTCAATGTAAAAAATAATTACCTCCACTGAAGAGAGCACTGCTGATTAGAATAAGAATGAACATTTTTCTTTTTCTTGGTAACACCTTTTTCTAACTTTGATTTCTTCCTTTTTTTTTTTTTTTTGAAATTTCTTCTTCTTTTTATTTCTCACTACTTTCACATATTTATTTTTCTTCGATGTTTTCCTTTTAACTTTTGACTACACTAAATGTAACTTTTATTTAATATTATCAAAGTATTCCCTCCGTTTTTTATTAATGGTGAAAGGATTAAGAGAAAGGAGAGAGAGAATACAAATTTGTTTTTTGTTCTCTCTCTCTCTCTCTCTCTCTCTCTTTCTTATTCTTTCTTTCTTCTTATCTTTATTTGAATTAATCACTATAACTGTTTCTTTAATCATTGAGACATTTGAAATTTCGTTCACGCATAACACTCGCCTTTCAAGAACCGGCATCAACTGGAAAGTTGAAACTGAACTGAAGAAACTACGCGCCATCGGTACATAGTAACTCTTTCACACACACACACAAATCCGGAAATCCACACGTACGACCCCACCCTTACTGCGTTCCATTGGAAGAAAGTGTTGCAACATATATCGTACAACGTCATCTCTCACAACATTGGTTTATTCTTTTTTGGATATCACGTTTGTATTTCATTCTATGTATTTACAGATTTCTTTTTATCTTTGTCAATCTTTTTTTTGGTTTGTTTTATATATGTATATGCAAATAAAAAAAATAACTAGCTTTTCAATTAATCTATTGGATACTTTTTAGCTTCTTTTTTTTTTATTCTTTTATTTTTTATTTTCTATTTATTATCTATTTCTTTTCTATTTTCATTTATAGTTAATCGTTTACTTTTCGAAATTAATTTAACGTTAGTAATAATTTAAGAATAAGGAAATAAAAATCGCCGAGAAGATCGGTACTAAAAAGTTTGAATGAAATTTCTCAGTCGGTAATAGCAGGAGTCTTTTTTATCGACTCGACTTCAACCTTTTTTCTCTTTCTTTTTTTTTTTTTTACAAAAATGTGTATTTTCTCTCTAATAAATTGCAATTACAATTTTGATTTTTTGTAGGGAAATTTTCTTAATGACATTAAAGAGAGAAAGAAAATATAAAAAAAATAAATATAAAACATTAAAAAATTATAAAAAATAATAATCAACAAAAATGATCTGTTTATTGGAAAATAAATTATAATTAATTTTCAACTAATAATCGAACAATTTAATAAAGTTACCAACATAAAAAACTTAAAAAGTTCTATCTTCAATCGTGCATAAGTTAAACACATTTTTTTTTTTTTATATTTTTACTGACAATGAAAGAAAGTTTTGTGTGATAGCTTTTGATTTGGTATAAAAAATTTTTGTATGAAGATAAAAAAATTGATTAAATTTAAATTTGATCATTATAATAGTTACATTTGATAATTGCAAATTGCATGATTGCAATGATATCTTAAATAATTAATTCAAACGATTGTTATATATTGTACATTGACAATAACTATAAATGGAGATCTATTTTATTCTTAACTATGTAATAATATCAATAGGACACGTTATTCACTACTTAAAAAATATTAAAACAATTTATATAATTGACAAATTTTTACACTCTTAATATCGATCCTTACATTATAAATGAATACGTAAATTACACCTAATTGTTCAAATACAACATGTCCAATAGTACAAATATCTTCGTTTGACTTTAATTAAAAACAAAATAAAACAATAAAACAATCAACGTAGACACATTTGTTAGGATTGCAAAAATGATTGATCTTTTGTACTCTGTGTATTCATAAAAGATTATTTTTATCTATCTAATAAATAGATATTAAAAAAAAAAGAACGTCTTCAATTATAAAATTTTCTTTTCTAATTTTCCTTAAAAATCTAGAAATAAATTGATAAGACATTTCTATCAGTATGAACAATTAAAAATACTTAATACTAGAATTACAGTCTTATAGTTGGAAGATGTTTCCTTCCAAAAAAAAAAAACAAAAAACAAAAAACAAAAATAAAATAAATTAAACAGAAAAAAAAATTAAAATAAATATATGAACAAAGGAAGTAACGATTCTTGGTCGAGAAAATTATGATACAAAATTAAGATACGGTATCATGACTCGAGTCGTTGTTAGCAGCAGCAAGTTTTTGATCATTAACGTCGACGCTTATCGAATAGGAACTTTTATCGTTAATATTATCTTCTTTGTTTTGTACTTCATCGTTATTCGATTGGCACAACTCTCTATCATTTGGTCCACTTGTCGTAGGTGGTACTAATTTTGGAATTTCACCATCCGACATTTCACATTTTTTTAAATCTATTACCGGTGTAACATCATCATTAGCGACATCCTTTTCTAATTTATTAACGACTACGGTTATATCTTTTAAGGATTCCTTGGAAATCGATTTTTCTTCGAGTTTTTCTCTTGTACAACATTGCGATAAACTGCACAATTCACCATGACAACGTATCAAACAATCAGCTTTGTCTGCGTTCGTTGTTATCTATAATTAAAAACAAAATATATAATAAAATATGAACAACAACAACAACAAAATATATATATATATATAAATTCAATCTTCTTTCTATTTGTTTATTAAAACAATATCTGAAAAAATAAAATGATGTTTCAAACCTTATGAAATTCTGGTTGTATCGTCACTTGAGTTATACCTCTTTGGATAAAAAATACTGTGATTTGATCAATGATATGAGCAAAAACCTGTAAAAAACAACCAATGATTTGTTTTCTACTTTTTTTTTTTTTGTAAATTATAATCAAGAATATCATACACGTTACTTGTATACGTACCATTGGATTTAAAAATATTATATGAACTGTCGATATAATTTTCTGAGGTGTCAATTGCCAAACATGAAAATCGTGAACATCAACTATACCTGGAAATGCTTCAAGTAAATCTTTCTTCAATGAATTTATATTAATATGATTTGGTATGGTTTGCAGTAATATCATCGTTGATTCCTTGACTGAAAAAAAAATTACGATCATTATAATAAAATCTGTTAAATAAATAATATTTCATATTTATATTATAAAAAAAAAAACATATTTCATCAATAAAAAATAAAAATTAATATTTTAATGTCAAATTATTGATCCAACATTGTTTCGTACGATTATTTTTTTTTTTTTCTTATCACGATATGTGCATTTATATACTGCAAAAAAAAAATCGATAACAAAGAAAGAAAGAAAAAAAAAAAGGAAAAGAAAAAGAATAGATGTCATATCAATTTTCAAAATTCCTAAAACCTTATCTTATCGTGTAATACAAAATAAAAAATGATAATTACTGTACGGATAGCTCAGAACTAAGAGCGATATCGATGAAATAATGGCAAAAACTGGATCCAAATATTTGGCAACTCCTGAATCAGTAAAGTATACTAATGTTGATACTATCATAACGAAAAGGCAACCAAGAACATCTCGACATATCCTTCGTAATCCTTGAATCTTTGGTACTGCTAAAGGACTTCTTCTGGTTTGTTCTGCTAATTGTTGTTCACCTTCTACCTCTGGTTGTAATTTTACGTTCCTAAAATAAACAAATATTTTAATGAATACATATCATGATATATGTATATATATAACAATTATGTTAATTTTATGACACAAATATATTAGACAAAATGAAATTGTTTTTACCTTCTAAATATGACATCCCCATTATTGGTGACGTGTAACAGTATTCCTTGATTAAATGTAAATCCACCAATGATAATATAACAAAAGAAATTAAGTAAAATTCCTGCTGCACCTATGCAAAATACAGCTACAGGATGATGCATTTCATCGAGATGATCAATATGAACCAATGTTTGCAATGCTTCGACAACCAAACAAAAACAAAATGATGCAAGTAGAATGCAACAAATCAACATTGTTAAGATATCGATTCTAACCCATCCAAAACTGTTTCTCATTCGCCTATCCGATCTTGATTGCTGTAAAAAATATTATATATTAAATATATATATATTTTATTTACTTTTGCAAAATATATTCATTATTTTATTTATGAAGTAATAAATAACGAACGAATAAATTAAATATATTAATATAAATAATATAAATATATAATTTAAATTTATAATCAGTTTTTATAGTATCAACACATTTAATAAAAATTATTTAATATTAATTAAATTCAATTAAATATAATAATATGATATAGATATCATTTTTGTTTATATTTTATGCAAGATAATTTTACCTTTGTTTTCGAAGATAAAGAATTATTCGAACTATGTTCCTGACCGTCCAAACAAATCATTGAATTTCTAAGTGAACTACTTCTACTGTGGTAAACATTTCTGTAACGTTCACGTGGAGCATACTGTAAAATATAAAAAATAATGAATAATTTTTTTTTCTAATTATTAGAATCAAAAAATTGTAGACGTTAAAACTAATATTTAGTTCTTTTCTTTATATTTCATATACGCTATCGATCTTACAATTAGTGAAAGAAAACTCCATTCAGAGATTAAGAGGAATATTTTAGGAGGGCCATAAAATCATAAACTAACTTAAGAATTATCCAAATATATTGCTGTAACGAAAACCTTTTGTGGAGTGTCTGGCCCTTTGAAAGGTTTCGGATTCCTATGTAAACATATGCGATACCATAAAAAGAAATAATATTTCGATATTCTAGAACAGGGGTCGGCAATCTGCGGCTCCC